CACAATAATGGGCAATTTTGATAATGAGATAATAATAAACACAAGGCTTTGGGCCTTGAAGAAGAAAGGAGCTTGATGAAAAGAATCATTACCATTCTTCTTATTATTATTCTCGTAGAAGACAGATGGCTGCAGCCGCAAATACAGGCCGGGCTAGAGTCTTCAGTCTGGGAAGGGGGCTAATAGGGTGTTTTAAGTTTGTTTTCTGTCTCCACTCTCCCTTGCTCAGAACACTCTGCATTCAGAAGGAACTCTCATGGGCATTTGAGGAGAAAAGGTACAGGGCTGGGGATGCAGCTTATGCCCAGGGCCTCACTCTGGGACCAGATCAACCTGGCAAGGTAAGAGATGGAACTGAAAATCTAATATGTAACCCAGGTTCCATGGGCAACCTACTTAGCTCCCACCTCTTGGCTTTTACTTTCCAGAAGGTGTTTTGGCCTGGAAGAGATATATTTTGCTAAGTCACAGGCAATGGATAAGGAACCCAGCCTCACCACTAGCCCCAAAGCCAATGGCTATAACAAGGAGCTCATAAACTACGCAGCATATCGATTCTTCAAGCCATGAGCTACTGTCAGCTTGGGTGGGGGATCTTAACATGGGCTCCACGGATGGGCTAGGGGTCAGCGGCGGGGCGGGGGGGAGACAGCAGGTGACAGTCTCCTGAAATTATCTGCAAAATTGTGTTTGTGCATTTATCTGGGAAGAGGCTCTACAGTCTTCTTCAGCTTCTCAAAGAAACCTATGACCCAACCCTTTTAGATGCACAGAAGCTAAGAAAGCATCTCCAGCATCTGGATTCACCAGCTTTCAAACTCGCCCTGAACTCCAGTCATAGAACAGGAAAAGAGCTCTGAAGTCTGAGTCAGGAGAGCTGGATTTTAGGGGCACCCACCTTGGCTTCTAAGGACCCCATCTAGAAGATGAGATGAGATCAGACAAGCTTTTAGCTCCCTGCTAATCTAATAATCAATAGTTCCATGATGCATTTCCTCTCCTTCCCTCCAAGGAGCAAAAGAAAAATCGCCCTCAAGACACTTCATCTGAAGCCAGAAACAGACCTTCTCCAGAATCCTGGCAGCAAAGACCATTTCCTTGTAATATGAGCCATTGGTATACATGTTCCTTCCTCCAAGGTATCAGCTGCTAGGATGGAGAGCCAGGAGAAACTGGGACCCGGGCATTCCCTAGCTGGTCTGCAAATCCCAGGGCCAGTAAGTCACAGGACAGAGCACAGCAAATGGAAATGCACTGAGGACCCCAAATCCCTTAGCTGACAGTGGCAATTTCCTAAAACTCCCTCCTTCTCTGTCCTTGTATATGTGAGTGTATGTGTGACTGTGTTACTGACATACGCACCAGCTCATTTTCTTTTCCTTGCTTCCATATTACTACTCAGAAAAACAACAAAAGAAGATTAAAAATATAAAGGGTCGAGAAGGAAGAGCACAGAGAAGTCAAAAGCTAAGTTCCAACCTAACTGGATCATCAGGCTTAAGATGGACTTGCCTGTCTTCCTGTGTCTTGTTTTAAGTCCGTCTGAGCTCAACTAAGGGGTTGCAAAGCAAAAAGTCCTAATGGCCAGAGGTAGCCCAGGAGGGGTCCCAACCATTTAAAATAACCAAGCCAAAGCCAGTTGACAAGACACATGCAAATGCAGCCATCACCCTGAGCTTTTCTCAGCTTCATTTTAGAAAAAAGGGCACCAAGATTATTTACCAGACTGATTGGAATCACTCATTAAGCTCATCAAGGGAGTTTCAGTGTTAAGGAAAGTTTCTTGAACATTCCTGATGAGCTCGCTGGCTACAGCTTGATATGTATTCAGAAAGTATTAGGTGTTATAGCAACTATTATAGCAAATCTGCCGTGAGAAAGGGGAAGAAGGGGAGAGGAAGAAAGAGAAGGAAAGAAGGGAGGGAGGGAAGGAGGGAAAGAGGGGACGAGAGAGAAACATTGTTTTTTGTACAGAGTAGAAAGCTGTTAGGGGCTGAATTATGTCCCCACCAAAATTCATATGTTGAAGGCCTGATCTCAGAATGTGACTATATTTGGAAATACCTCCTTTAAAGAACTAAGTTAAAAGGAGGCCATTAGGTGGGCCCTAATCCAATCTGACCAGTGTCCTTACAGGAGGAAATCTGGACACACAGAGAGGCACTGGGGATGTGCATGCAGAGAGAAAAGACCATGTGAAAAGGCATCAAAATGGCGGCCATCTGCAAGCCAAGGAGAGAGGCTTCAGGGAAAACCAACCCTGCCGGCACCTTGATCTTGGGGATAATTATCAGTGCCTTGCCTCAGAAGTTTATGGTGAGGACCAAATACATTAGCCCACATAGAGCACTTAGAACAGTACCGGGCGCACAGTAAATACTCTGGAAGCGTCAGCAAGCCTAGTGCAGAGATGCTGCTGCCGCTGTGGCTGAAGGGAAACTTCACCACCACCAGGGTTCTGACTTCAGGTGTATGAATGGGCTCTGGTGGGCGGCGGGGGGGGCTTTATTTTCAAGCTCACACAATGGGAATCGTCACATCTGCTGATGCTCAGGGGTTCTGCAAGGAGAAGACTATTTGGCTTTCCTTGGGGAGAAGGTCGCACTAGGAAGAGAGATGCAGGTGACCTGTTTGGAGGAACCACATCTGCCTCAACTGATGGCAGAGATGGGCCAGAGCCATGGGCTGGAAGCTCTCAGACTCAGGGTCACTGACTGTACGAGCCACCCCACAACCCCGGGGGTGGGGGGGGTGGGGAAGGGGAGGGGAGTTTTCTGGTGCACTGCCCCTTCCTGGAATCTGATAGAGCTCCTGAAAATGAAGGAGAGCAGCTTTTTATCTGCCCGACCTCTTCATCTGAGAAAGCAGTGACAGGGCGAACGGACAGATGGGATGAGACAGCACGGGATCCGGTCTCTGCCTCAGCCTGGGACCTCCACAGGCAGGGAGCAGACTGCACCTCCAGAGTGGCTCCACATCCCTGAGCCAGGGAAGAATCTGTTTTCAGTGTGTTTGCTTTGCCCCATTCTTGGGGGACTCTCCCCTGCAGCTCTGAGACCACAGCAGGAGTTCTGCTGAAGGACTAGGGTGAAGTCAGGCAAGTCATACTGTGGGGAATACAGAAGGGGGAGCAGAGGTAGCTAAGTTAGCAGCCTGGGTCTGCTGATCCCAGCTCACAGGGGAACACTGAACCGAGTGTGCCTGGCCTCTCGTGACCGAGACAACACTGCCTGCCCTCTCCCACCCTGGCATTCCCCCCACCTCCCAGGAGGTCCGACGGTCTATCTACAAGATGCTTTGGGCTCCTTGGAAGGAAGAGGGGAGGCCCTCTAAGCCACCTGTTAAAATGCAGATCCCACTGCAGCAGGTCGGAGGTGGGGCCTCAAATTCTGCCTTTCTAACAGGCAGCACCCGCGTGATGCTGGTCCTCAGACCTCACCTGGAGTCCCACACTTGGAGTAACTTGGAATTACGATCACCTAGGATGCTGATTCTCCAAGAGGGGTCTGAGGACCCCAGCAGTAGACATTACTTGGGGACTTATTACCAATGCTCATTTCCTGGTATCATCCCAGATCCTCTTGATCAGACCTTCTGGGGATGAGGTCCAGCAAGCCTCATTCCTCAGCCATTTCCTCGGGTGAACTGCTATGGACAGACATTAAGTTTCAGAGCCACTGCACAAAATTGGTGGTCCTCGACTGCAGCGCCACATTAGAAACACTTTTTAAAAACATTATGCCCACCCAGGCTGTGTCACAGATCAAGAGTTCAGATACTCCAAGGGAGGGGCCAGGGCATCAGTCATTTTGGTTGGTTTGTTTTCCATTGTTGTTGTTCATCGTTTTCTGTTTTGTTTTGTTTTGCTTTGCTTTTTTAAGTACCTCTAGGTGAGCCTGGAGCAAAATTTTAAGTCTGGGTTCAAAATCACAGCTTTAGATGAATGCATTTTCTTTTAATTTCTATTGATGTACAATAGGCACCTAGAAACATATAATGATCATCGGGATATACATGAGTATTTGTGGGGAGGTTGTGGCTAAATCTTTGGAGAGAGTGAAGTGTTGCTGCACTTATAGGATCTAGAGGCTTCTCCATTCCTAACTCTGCCACTTGGAACTCGTGTAACTCCCTGAACGTCAGTGTCTTCCTCTGTAACAAGAGGCCATAATGCTTGCCCTTATCTACGTCACACAGCTGTCATGTGAAAAGACCTTGTAAACTATAAAGTGCTATCCAAAGAGGAAGGAGTATCATTTTGAGATTTAAACTATGATCTTTAATGCATGAGGCAAATTTAAGTCATGAAAATAGAAAGCAGTAGGAGGGATTTTACAGGTGATTTCTTTTCCTGTGCTTTCTAACATGGCCGGCTAATCCCTCCCCAGTGCCACGTGAGGGAGTCTGAGGACAGAGCCCTGCCACCTCAGCCCTATAGCCCCTTCTTCTCTCTATGCTCGTTTACCACCCAGCCCCCTGCTACAGTGGGATTCTACTGGCCAGCCACTGGGTATGGGGTGGCCCAGACTGCCCTATGGGTTTGGGTAAATGCGGGAAAGAAACTAATTCTTGCTCAATGGGGCCCTTGGCAAAGCAGACAGGCTTTGAGGCTCCCCATCAGATTCTCCTGGGCCAATGCGGCTGAGTCCAAACTAGAGCCCCTTAGGACACCTGGAAACCTCTAATAAATGGGGCTCCCTGCCTCCCCCTTCTCTCCACCAAACCTCTCAGGAGCTCCTTTAGGTTTTTTTTTGGTCTCTCCTGGTTCTGGCCTGAACTCTTGATGCAGCCCCAGAGTTCCATCAGACACTCCCACCCTTACCTATCAAGCTCCCCTGCATCGGAGAAGGGCGATGTCAAACCGCAATACGAAATATGTACGTATTTTAAAGCTCACACGGGTACGTAAGCGCAGGATGAGGGCAAGCGCTGGATACTGAAGGAGTGAGCAAATAACTGGTTTGTACGTTGGCAGCACATTCTTACAAGAGGCAACTTACCAGCCGGGTATTTACCACAGGAAACAGCAGAGCTAGAAGCGCTCCATTCAGCATGTGCATCTGAAGCCTGGAGGGGGAGAAAAAGAAAAAGAAAAAAAAAAAAAAGATAAAGCCCAGGTCACACTCAGACTCTGTTGCACGGGCAGGCAAAAATGTGTCAAGTCATGCCCTGCCCTACGGGAGGCCATGTAAACAAGCGGCTCTCTGTGTAAAATGGCACTGGTTGGCGCGCGCGCAGAGTCCATTTAAAGCGGCATATTCCGCACTAATGAAACGTTCTGACTGCTGCCTCAAAAATCCCCCAGATGCTCCCTGAACACACTTTGGCTATGACACTTGATTACATAATGAGCTCCGTGCTCCCTAAACGTCCAGTCGGTCCCCATCAGCAGCGTCAGCCGCCGCAGCTCAGGCGACAGTTGAAAAGAGGGGCTCCGCTAAGCGAGTGCCCTGTGATTAGAGTACTGGGGTACCTGTTTCGTGTAACATGGCTGTTTATTTACACAGCCATGTCCAATCCTTTCGCCCAAACAGCGGCCTAGGCGTGAAAAGGCGAGTCAAACCAGCCAGCTGACTGCAGTGTTTTGTCAACTGTGTTCCCTGACTTTCTTAGAAATGTCTTCAGGGCTGCTGCAGGAGGTGGGAATGGCAGAAGTGGCAGCCTTCCAGGCTTGCTCTGATCGATTTTACAGATTGGGTTTTGTGACTTAAAGGCAAAACAAAAAAGGAAAAGGGCGGGGGGAGGAAGGAGAAGAAGAAAACCACTGGTCTCCAGCATCGGGTAATAAATCATTTCCTAATACCAGACTTGTTGACGCATATGCTAGAAACCCTTTGTAAGTCAAGAACAACCAGGTCAGGAACCAACTCTGCCTGAGAGATCACTGAGGGTGGACTTCAGCCGCTTCTTTCATCATTCGAGGCAAATGGTCCTTTACAACTGAGGGAGAAGAAAAGAATGACACACAGACTTCCTCCTGAAGAAAAGCGGATCTGATGCGTCAGGTACAACCACTGCTGAGTCAGCTCTCTCTCTCTCTCAAGCACACACTCACACACACTCACACAGCAGCCCTGAGATACCAGGACTTTTCCCATGCTCTGAAGGGGAAAGCAGCCCATACTTTTTGTTTTTGTTTTTAAGATTTTATTTACTTATTTGAGAGAAAGAGAGACGGAGAGAGGGTGTGCACGCACAAGCAGGGGGGAGAGGCAGAGGGAGAGGGAGAAGCAGACTCCCCACCGGAAACCCAACGTGGAACTCGATCCCAGGACCCTGGGATCATGACCTGAACCCAAGGCAGACACTTAACCGACTGAGCCACCCAGGCGCCCTTTGAAGGCCCTCAAGAACTCTAGGTATTCTCTCAAAGCTCACAGATGTGTGCCTAAGACTGAGAGACATTACGAGGAGACCCACGAGAACAGCACAGAAGCCCCAAGGGTGGTTCTCATTTCCTGCAGTCTGTTTATGACTGTTGCCCGTTTCTACCAATGCCACAAGGAGGATGATAATGTGCACTTAACATAATCTGGGCAAGTTATCTAATTAACTGCTTTACATAAGTTCTCTCGCTTAATTTTTACAGCAATCTTCTGAGACAGGTACAATTACTTTTGCCATTTGTTGATGAGGAAACCAAGTTCAGAGAAGCAAAGCGGCCTGGTTCATGTCACACATAAGATAGAAGAGCCAAGATTCAAGCCCAGGTTTATCTAACTTGAGACCCCAAACTCTTATATCCCTCTTGCTGCCTGATACCAGAGCCCAACCCCCCGCCACCCTCCCTCACAAATGTGACCTCAGGTGGAGAGTCAGAGAGCCTCCTGTTTCCTCCCTTTGGGCTTCAGGGGTCTTTCTACCATCTTATCCATCCCCTGGCCTAGGCATAATATGCTTTCAGGGGGGTTACCAAGGGGGGAATGCTCTGAGGCCACGCCAAGCCATCATGGTCCTCGAGCACCAATGTGACGTCACTCCAGCCTCCAGGGCTGGCCAGCTTACCATGCTTTTACAACAGGGTCGTTCCAGGGGGCACTCCGTGCTCTGAGAACTGATTGCTGAAGACTCTTGCTCAAGCCTCAAGTGCCTAGAGCAGGGGTCATTAATGGCCATTACAGGCCTGACCTAACTCTATCCCTGGGCCTGCCTAAGGGAGGCTCTGGGCATAAACAGTCTTGTTTAGCCACAGCCTAAACATTCACCCTGGGAGAGGGAAACATCACATTAATAGTCCAGGTAAAGCTGGACTCTGGTGCCAGGCTTTGCCACTGGCCTTAAAAGAATGCTGGCATTTATACAAAGCCAGTTAGCTATCTGGGCGCCAAAAGTTAAATTGTGAGGATGATGGAATTGATCCCAAGGGCCGAAGAAAGGTCAGAAATAGAGAAGTTAAAACCAATGTCAAGATTCAAAACAACGAAGAAATTCCCAGATAAAGACAAGCCTGTTCTGGGTCCTCAAAATTCAGTTCTACAAGCTACATATATGCCAAAGCATGGATTATCCCTAATATATAAAAAGGTCTTAGACATCAATAATTACAAAAGCATTTAAACATGTATAGAGCATTTCTACATGCCAATCACTGGGTTAAGTAGTCAAATGCCTCACGTGATTTATCTCTCAGTTTTTATTATAATCTGTATCATCTTCTTTAATTTCACAGTTGAGAACATCAAAACACTGAGTGACTACATGACTTGCCACAAATCACAGAGATAGCAAGAGTCGGAGGGAGAAGTCACACTCAGTTCTCGCCAAGTTTTGAGACCGTGCTTTTGCCACTGTACCCTGCTTTAAATCCAAAACATGAACCACGAACATTATACATGTTCCGTGAGTGTGTGTGTATGAGAGAGACAGAGTCAGTTAGATTGTAGGCCAGGTAGGAAAAGATTCTAGGCTGCCCACTGGGAGAGAGGGTCATGCCTAAGGGCAATAGAACCCCCTGGGTGTTTTGTGGCAAAGCTATCCCCCAATTATATACCTGCACTGCCCTCTATAGACCCTGAGCACAGCCCAACAGGTAAGTGACTGGCCATATGAAAGCCAAAGGCTTTTGTTTTCACTTTATATCCACCTCCAGCCTGCCACTCAGATTTCTACTGTGTATGGGAAATGGATAATGAGCCACTAGAAAGTCCTGTGAGAGTTCCCTCATCTGTACAATGGGAACAACAGTACCCAATTTGTAGGACTGTTATAAGGAGTTAATATGTATAAAGTGCTTAGAAGAGCACGTGGTATAGAGTAAGACTCACATTTCGGTTTCATAAACAAACGGTGAAGAGTTCGCCTAAAGCTTCAAGATGTAAAGGGCGGGGAGGGGGAAAAAGGAAATCATGTGAGAGAGTCAAACGGTGAAACAAATTCGAAGTATGAAAAGGAGTTGCCATAGAGAGCAAAAGGATAAGACTGAAGGTCAGAACTAAACAGCACAACTTGGAGATGGACTCCTGTTCAGTTAGTCATACTTATAAATCTCCTTGACAGCTCAAAGCCTTGGCCATTACTATTGTCACAAATATTTTGTCAGCTTTTTTTGTTTTTGTGTAGGAGACTGAGCTAAATTAGCTTAGTTGGTAAGAAACTGGTGCAATATGGCAAATGTCACGGGTTTTATCCTCTTCCGGGTCAGTTCATGCCATTAAATTGAGTTCCACAAACATAAATCAATCCATTACTATGTGTCTAACATGGTTCCAGGTGCTGTAGGGAAAAGGTGATCACTATAAGACATAGTATCTGCCTTCAAGAAAATAACATCTTACTGACAAGGCAAGAAATGAAATAATGAAAGGAAATGTAGTATAATGGTGAAGAATTCAGGGTTTGGCACAAACCTACACTCAAATTCCAGATCTACCACACTGTGGCTGAGTGACTCTGGACAAGTGACTTAAAATATGTGTGTCAGTTTCCTTAATCATAAAATGGGGCTAGTAAGAGTACCTCGATGAAAAGTTTGTTGAGAGAATTTAATGAGACCGTGTAAACCGATCAACATAATGCTTAGGACATAGTAAGCACTCAATACATGGCAGCTACTATTATTCTTAATAAAGCAATGCAAATGAATATCACATTACTATTCATAACAACAAATGAAGCTACAAAAAATCTTCGTGAGATGACTTATATTTCAATTTAATGCACTTGATTACAACCAAGAACTGAAAAGTATGGAATAGATGGCAAGTTTTATAAGTGACTGGAAAGGCAAATTCATAGAGAGGAATTCTCAAAGGGAATTATAAAATACTTTGAATTGGACAAAAATAAAAATACAACATATCAAAATGTGTCAGATGCCTATAACATAAAATTTAGAGATTAGAAAAAAACAGAATCATCTCAACTCAGTCATCCAAGCTTCTGCCATAAAAATCCAGAAAACAAAAGCAAGCTAAACCAAAAGCAAGCAGAAGGAATGAAACAATAATAGGAGCAATAATCATTAGAAGTAAAAACAAAAAACAACAGAGAAAAATCAATGAAACTGAAAGCTTGCTATTGAAAAAGTCAATACCATTGATAAACTTCCAGGAAGAATGACATGGACAAAAAGAGAGAAAAGAGGACTTACCGACATCTCCAGACTCAAATGGTTTCTGTGACTAAGTCTACCAAATATTTATACAATCTTGTCCAGAAAATAAAACAGAAGGAAACATTTTGCAACTCATTTTACGAGGCTATTATCATGCAGGTAACAAACCAGACAAATACAGTACAAAAAAAGAAAGAAAACTAAAACTAAATGAATATCCCTCATGAACACAGACACAAAACTCCTCAATAAAAATTTTAGCAAATCTAATGCAGCAATATAAAAAGAATAAGATTCTGGGGGCTCCTGGGTGGCTCAGTTGATTAAGCGTCCAGGTCTTGATCTCAGGGTCATGAGTGCAAGCCCTGAATTAGGCTCCACATAATTAAAAAAAAAAAAAAGAGGGGCAGAGCAATATGGTAGAGGAGTAGGAGAGCTGGATTTCGCCTGGTCTCAGGAATTCAGCTGGAGAGGGATCAAACCATTCTGAACACCTACAAACTCAACAGGAGAT